ACCGTTGATGGGCATTTAGGTTGGTTCCAGGTCTTGGCTATTGTGAATTGTGCTGCAATAAACATTAGGGTGCAGACCGCTTTTTTCTTTATCAATTTAAACTCCTTTGGGTAAATTCCAAGGAGTGGGATGGCTGGGTCGAACGGTAGGGTTATATTCAGGTTTCTGAGGAATCTCCAGACTGATTTCCATAGTGGCTTGACCAGTTTGCATTCCCACCAACAGTGGGTTAGTGTCCCTTTTTCCCCACATCCTCGCCAGCATCTGTTGTTGGTAGATTTCTGTATGTGAGCCATTCTAACCGGGGTGAGGTGAAACCTCATTGTGGTTTTGATTTGCATTTCCCTGATTGCTAGTGACCTTGAACATTTTTTCATGTGCCTGTTGGCCATTTGGATTTCCTCTTTTGAAAAATGTCTATTGAAGTCCTTGGCCCATCTCTTAAGTGGGTTGTTGGTTTTGTTTTTGTGGAGTTTCTTGATCTCTTTGTAGATTCTGGTTATTAACCCTTTATCTGTTGCATAGTTTGCAAATATTTTTTCCCATTCTGTTGGTTGTCTCTTCACTCTCCTGACTGTTTCTTTTGCAGTACAGAAACTTCTCAATTTGATGCAATCCCAATAGTTGATTTTGGCTTTGACTGCCTGTGCCTCCCGGGTCTTTTCCAGAAATTCTTTGCCTGTGCCAATATCTTGAAGGGTTTCTCCAATGTTCTCTAGTAACTTGATGGTGTCAGTGTGGGGAGCAAACCGAACTAGACTGTTACTGGAATTAAGACTTATTCTATGCATCTGCTCTCCCACAATATGGCGCTGGGAGAGAAGTAAACAGCTTCCGCACAGCTGCCTCCAGTTCAACTAATAAACTGTAGGACTTGCTCCTGATTGGAGGAGAGCAGCGTACTCGGCGTGTGGGCAGCCGAGTTAGGATTGGCGGAGGAGGACTATAAAGGAGGAGAGAGACGGCATGCACCAGGAACATCTATGGGGAACATCTAAGGGAACCCGTGCAGCCCCCGAGAGAGCCGGCCGGCGGTGTGCCGCTCCCCTGCGGAAGTGGGGAATGCGGCCAGGGGGAACTGCCCTTCCACGGAGGTGGAAGGGATAGTAGCCAACCCGGGAAGAACCAGCAGCAAACCCGGGGAGGGCCGAGCGGACAAAAGAACAGCGCAGGGTCCTGTGTCGTTCCTCCACAAAGAGGGGGAGCGACATGTCAGGACATAGATTTAGGTCTTTAATCCACGTTGAGTGGATTTTTGTGTAAGGTGTAAGGTAGGGGTCTTGCTTCATGCTTCTGCACGTGGAAATCCAGTTTTCCCAGCACCATTTATTGAATAGACTGTCCTTGCTCCAGGAATTAGTTTTAGATCCTTGATCAAATATAAGTTTTAATTATTTCTCTTCTCCTACTAGATTTGGGTTTGGTTTGCTGCAGTTTTTCTAGGTCCTTGAGATGCGCTGAAAGCTCATTTATTTGCTACCTTTCCAATTTCTTGATATAGGCACCTATTGATATAAATTTGCCTCTCAATACTGCTTTTGCTGTATCCCATAAGTTTTGATATGTTGTGTTGTTGTCTTCATTTACTTCCAGAAAGTTTTTGATTTCTCTTTTGATTTCTTGAATGACCCAGTGTTCATTCAGGAGCATGTTGTTCAGTCTCCATGTGTTTGCATACTTTCTGGGGTTTCCTGAGTTGCTAATTTCCAGCTTCATCCCGCTGTGGTCTGAGAAGCTGCATGGTATGATTCTAATTCTTTTAAATTTGCTGAGACTTGCTTTATGGCCTAGTATGTGATCAATCCTAGAGAAGGTTCCATGCGCTGCTGAGAAGAATGTGAAGTCTTTAGATGTAGGATTGAAAGTTCTGTAGATATCTGTTAGATCCATTTGGGCAATAGTGTCAATTAAATCTGCTGTTTCCTTGTTGATCTTCTGTCCGGATGATCTGTCTATTTCTGAGAGTGGAGTATTGAAGTCCCCCAGTACTATTGTATTGGAATCTAAATCTCCCTTTAAGTCCCTTAACATATCTTTTAAATAGACCGGTGCCCTGTAATTAGGTGCATATACATTTATAATAGTTACATCTTCCTGTTGAATTGAACCCTTAATCATTATATAGTGCCCCTCTTTGTCTCTCTTAACAGTTTTTGTATTAAAGTTTATTTTGTCTGATATTAATATGGCTACACCTGCTTTTTTTTTGGTTTCTGTTGGCATGGAATATCTTTTTCCAACCTTTCACTTTCAGTCTGCATGCCTCTTTGTTAGAGAGATGTGTTTCTTGTAGGCAACAAATAGTTGGGTTGTGTTCTGTGAGCCAGTCAGCCAAACGGTGTCTTTTAACTGAAGAATTCAGACCATTAATGTTCAATGTGACAATTGATACGTAGTGACTTTGCCCTGCCATTTTCCCGGAGATATTTTCTAGTATATGCTTTGAGCTTCCCATGCTCTTTTACTGGTAGGTGTTCTTCCTTTCCCTTCTTTCATATTGATGGCCGTGTTTCTGTGTTTCTGAGTGTAGCACATCTTTAAGTATCTTTTGCAGGGCCGGACGAGTGGCCACAAAGTCTTTCAATTTCTGTTTGCTATGAAAGGTCTTTATTTCACCTTCATTCACAAATGAGAGCTTGGTAGGATATAATATTCTGGGCTGGCAATTTTTCTCTCTTAGCACCTGTGCTATGTCTCGCCATTCCCTCCTAGCCTGTAGTGTTTCTGATGAGATGTCTGCTGTGAGTCTGATTGGAGATCCTCTGAGAGTAATCTGACTTTTCTCTCTTGCACATTTTAGGATCTTTTCTTTATGTTTCACTGTGGTAAGTTTAATTACCACGTGTCGTGGTGAGGATCTCTTTTGGTCATGTTTATTGGGGGTTCTATGAGCTTCCTGTACTAGGATATCTCTGTCCTTCTCCAAACCTGGAAAGTTCTCTGCTAGTATCTCACTAAAAAGGCCTTCCAATCCTTTCTCTCTCTCCATGCCTTCAAGAACTCCTAGAACTCGAATGTTGGTTTTTTTAATAGTATCCTGTAGATTCCCAACAATATTTTTTAGATTTCTAATTTCCTCTTCTTTTCTTTGGTTTGACTGTATGTTTTCCTGTGCTCTATCTTCTAAGTCCGATATTCTCTCTTCTGCTTCACCCATTCTGTTTTTAAGGCTTTCTAATGTGTTTGTCATTTGATGTATTGAGCTCTTCATTTCATTTTGATTTCTCTTGACTATTACACTTTCCTGTTCTACTAGTTTCTGAGTTTCATTTTGACTCTTCCTTAAAATTTCATTTTCACGAGAGAGATTTTCAATCTTGTCCATTAAGGATTTCTGTAGTTCAAGGATTTGCTTTTGAAAACTTCTAAATGTTCTTATCATAAATTTTTTGAAATCCGTATCTTGCATTTCTTCTATCTCATCATCTTCATACTCTTGGCTTGGGGTGTTTTGCTTATTTGGAGGCATCATAGTGTCATCGTTGATCTTGCTCCCTCTATTTCTGTGTTTGTTACTCGGCATAGTTAATTCTTCTTGCGTCACTGTGCGTTTTTTTTTTTTTTTATACTGTGTCCGTGTTAAGTGGACTGCCTGCTGTTGGAGGAGCCTTGGAGGCTTGAGATGGGTGCGGCCTGAGAGCTCTGCCTGGTTCTTCCTGGTTAAGGGTGTGCAAAGGTGACACCCTCAGGTTATGCGTGGTAAATCTCTCTCTTTTTATTTATTTACTTATTTTATTTATTCAGGGGGTAAGTAACACCACAGGGCAGGGCTATGCAGAATTGATGGTATTTAGCTTCCAGTCTTTGGCTCCTCTGGACTCCCACTGGGTTGCCTAGGCTACTGAATTGTAGTGACTCAGTTCCTTAGCTCTCCCCCATTGATATGTAAATCTAGAGAGGAGGCCTGCTCTTTGTCTCTTGGGAATTCTTCAAGCCTTGCAGCCTTGTAACCTTTGCAAGGTTAGGGGGAAGAGAAACCCCGAAGCTTTTTTTTTCCTTCTTTCCGGTAGTGAGTTTGCTGCACTTTCCGGCCCCCCTCTGGATTCTGACCCCCGTTTCCCCACCAATGTCTCGGGTTATTGAGCTCACCTCCCCTTCCAGCGCCGATGTGTGGACTCGGAGCCCTGAGCGTCCCAAGTCTCCCCGCTGTTGTCTGTGTGGCATGCACTCCCCTTGGAGCACTGTCGCTTAGACCCTGGGGCTTCTGCGGCTGGGTCCCGCGACTTGGCTTCCACGCTGTGGGCGACCTTGTTCTCCCAGCAGGTCCTCCGATTCACGCCTGCTCCATCCAGAAGGGTTTCCCCTGCAATTTTCTTTGGTTCTATTTTCTGCGGCTACCGTAACTCCCCTTTTATTAAACTAAATTTTCCCGGACTATCGGTGCGCGCCCTCACTATTCCGCCATCTTGGCTCCGCCCCCTGTTCATATATTCTTGACGATATTTCTTATCTGGGAGAGAGTGGGATACCTAGTACCTATGTAATACAAGCTTCCCCTTACTTACCTGAAGCTATGTAAAGGAGAGGTTTTGAGGCTGTCTTGACATTCGCTTCAGCCAACTCTCTTGCCTTTAGAACCTAGGAAAGAAGAATTAGCAGCTAAACTCTTGGCCCAGTGGTGAAGAAGTCAGATGAGCTATCTACCTCACACCTCGGATGGCTTTCTGTCCTTATTTTGTACCCAATTCTAACTCTTGGCCAGAAATCAAGCAGTATTTCCTGACCTTGCGAGACTGAATTGAGGATTCTCTTTTCTGCCTTTTCTTCAACTGTATTGACTTCCGTGGCAGAAATAGTGTTTTATACTTTCCTGTTGTATTTTCCCATGTCCACCTCTAACTGAACATGGGGTAGAATCTGCTCTTTGTTTATATGCTTAGATTTTTCAAGGACTGGGCCTATGACTTGATACCCATAGTAAATCCTGTCTCACTGAATGAGTAGCTGAGGGGTTGAGAAATTGGATATATGTGTTGAATTTGTATTTTATTGTTCTGTAGGCAGGAACGTCAGCTGTAGCGGGTAAGAAGAGTAAAAAACGTTTTTTCATCGCTCAAGTTGCTCCACAACAGCCAATTAATAAATATGGGCTGGACTCTGATCACGCATTGGACAAAGATAACAAGCGTAGTGAGTGCATATCTATCAAAACTTACTATTAAAATACAATGAAGAGAAATGAGTAGCTCTGAATTGGGTATCCATGTATGTTGAGGGTTTTCTTTGGCTTTTTTTAATATAACCAACTTCTTCCTTAAACAGCTTCAACCCTCTGAAATTCATCCTTACTATTCCTTTTATTTCATTGAAATATTCATTTCATTGCAATAGTCATGAGTGGAGAGAGACACGCCTTTATGTAAATTGTTTCCATGTGAATAAATGTTCTCACTAGTTAATCTGTTACTGCATTTGTAGGTAAGGAGTCTACCTTCCAAAGAGATCCTGAAGACAACAACTCACCAAGGAATTCGAAGGTAGTGTGTCTTCTTGTGATTTGGAAATACCTGATTTCAGTGATGTTAAAACAAAACTGGTGTTTGCTTGAAGGTATAAAGTTACTTGAGAGACAGCTACTTACATAAGACAGGCAGATAAACATTTTCACTATCTTGAGAAGGGGTGGTGTGATATCTCTTTGAGGCATTGATATGCATTTCCCTGGTGGATGGTGATGTTGAACATACTGTCATATTGATTGCCATTTCTATCTCTTATTTTGAGACAGGTCTGTTGAGGTGCTGTGTCCATTTCTGAGCTAGATTTGTTGTTTGTTCATATATTCTTGATGATATTTCTTATCTGGGAGAGAGTGGGATACCTAGTACCTATGTAATACAAGCTTCCCCTTACTTATCTGAAGCTACGTAAAGGAGAGGTTTTGAGGCTGTCTTGACATTCGCTTCAGCCAACTCTCTTGCCTTTAGAACCTAGGAAAGAAGAATTAGCAGCTAAACTCTTGGCCCAGTGGTGAAGAAGTCAGATGAGCTATCTACCTCACACCTCGGATGGCTTTCTGTCCTTATTTTGTACCCAATTCTAACTCTCGGCCAGAAATTAAGCAGTATTTCCTGACCTTGCGAGACTGAATTGAGGATTCTCTTTTCTGCCTTTTCTTCAACTGTATTGACTTCAGTGGCAGAAATAGTGGTTTATACTTTCCTGTTGTATTTTCCCATGTCTACCTCTAACTGAACATGGGGTAGAATCTGCTCTTTGTTTATATGCTTAGATTTTTCAAGGACTGGGCCTATGACTTGATACCCATAGTAAATCCTGTCTCACTGAATGAGTAGCTGAGGGGTTGAGAAATTGGATATATGTGTTGAATTTGTATTTTATTGTTCTGTAGGCAGGAACGTCAGCTGTAGCGGGTAAGAAGAGTATAAAACGTTTTTTCATCGCTCAAGTTGCTCCACAACAGCCAATTATGAACTCTGATCACGGATTGGACAAAGATAACAAGCGTAGTGAGTGCATATCTATCAAAACTTACTATTAAAATACAATGAAGAGAAATGAGTAGCTCTGAATTGGATATTCATTTATCTTGAGGGTATTCTTTGGCTTTTTTTAATATAACCAACTTCTTCCTGAAACAGCTTCAACCCTCTGAAATTCATCCTTACTATTCCTTTTATTTCATTGAAATATTCATTTCATTGCAATAGTCATGAGTGGAGAGAGACACGCCTTTATGTAAATTGTTTCCATGTGAATAAATGTTCTCACTAGTTAATCTGTTACTGCATTTGTAGGTAAGGAGTCTACCTCCCAAAGAGATCCTGAAGACAGCAACTCACCAAGGAATTCGAAGGTAGTGTGTCTTCTTGTGATTTGCAAATATCTGATTTCAGTGATGTTAAAACAAAATTGGTGTTTGCTTGAAGGTATAAAGTTACTTGAGAGACAGCTACTTACATAAGACAGGCAGATAAACATTTTCGCTATCTTGAGAAGGGGTGGTGTGATATCTCTTTGAGGCACCGATATGCATTTCCCTGGTGGATGGTGATGTTGAACATACTGTCATATTGATTGCCATTTCTATCTCTTATTTCGAGACAGGTCTGTTGAAGTGCTCTGTCCATTTCTGAACTAGATTTGTTGTTTGTTCATATATTCTTGACGATATTTCTTATCTGGGAGAGAGTGGGATACCTAGTACCTATGTAATACAAGCTTCCCCTTACTTATCTGAAGCCACGTAAAGGAGAGGTTTTGAGGCTGTCTTGACATTCGCTTCAGCCAACTCTCTTGCCTTTAGAACCTAGGAAAAAAGAATTAGGAGCTAAACTCTTGGCCCAGTGGTGAAGAAGTCAGATGAGCTATCTACCTCACACCTCGGATGGCTTTCTGTCCTTATTTTGTACCCAATTCTAACTCTCGGCCAGAAATCAAGCAGTATTTCCTGACCTTGCGAGACTGAATTGAGGATTCTCTTTTCTGCCTTTTCTTCAACTGTATTGACTTCAGTGGCAGAAATAGTGGTTTATACTTTCCTATTGTATTTTCCCATGTCCACCTCTAACTGAACATGGGGTAGAATCTGCTCTTTGTTTATATGCTTAGATTTTTCAAGGACTGGGCCTATGACTTGATACCCATAGTAAATCCTGTCTCACTGAATGAGTAGCTGAGGGGTTGAGAAATTGGATATATGTGTTGAATTTGTATTTTATTGTTCTGTAGGCAGGAACGTCAGCTGTAGCGGGTAAGAAGAGTATAAAACGTTTTTTCATCGCTCAAGTTGCTCCACAACAGCCAATTATGAACTCTGATCACGGATTGGACAAAGATAACAAGCGTAGTGAGTGCATATCTATCAAAACTTACTATTAAAATACAATGAAGAGAAATGAGTAGCTCTGAATTGGGTATCCATGTATGTTGAGGGTTTTCTTTTCGTTTTGTTTATAACCAACTTCTTCCTTAAACAGCTTCAACCCTCTGAAATTCATCCTTACTATTCCTTTTATTTCATTGAAATATTCATTTCATTGCAATATTCATGAGTGGAGAGAGACACGCCTTTATGTAAATTGTTTCCATGTGAATAAATGTTCTCACTAGTTAATCTGTTACTGCATTTGTAGGTAAGGAGTCTACCTCCCAAAGAGATCCTGAAGACAACAACTCACCAAGGAATTCGAAGGTAGTGTGTCTTCTTGTGATTTGCAAATATCTGATTTCAGTGATGTTAAAACAAAACTGGTGTTTGCTTGAAGGTATAAAGTTACTTGAGAGACAGCTACTTACATAAGACAGGCAGATAAACATTTTCGCTATCTAGAGAAGGGATGGTGTGATATCTCTTTGAGGCACTGATATGCATTTCCCTGGTGGATGGTGATGTTGAACATACTGTCATATTGATTGCCATTTCTATCTCTTATTTCGAGACAGGTCTGTTGAGGTGCTGTGTCCATTTCTGAGCTAGATTTGTTGTTTGTTCATATATTCTTGATGATATTTCTTATCTGGGAGAGAGTGGGATACCTAGTACCTATGTAATACAAGCTTCCCCTTACTTATCTGAAGCTACGTAAAGGAGAGGTTTTGAGGCTGTCTTGACATTCGCTTCAGCCAACTCTCTTGCCTTTAGAACCTAGGAAAAAAGAATTAGGAGCTAAACTCTTGGCCCAGTGGTGAAGAAGTCAGATGAGCTATCTACCTCACACCTCGGATAGCTTTCTGTCCTTATTTTGTACCCAATTCTAACTCTCGGCCAGAAATCAAGCAGTATTTCCTGACCTTGCAAGACTGAATTGAGGATTCTTTTTTCTGCCTTTTCTTCAATTGTATTGACTTCAGTGGCAGAAATAGTGGTTTATACTTTCCTGTTGTATTTTCCCATGTCTACCTCTAACTGAACATGGGGTAGAATCTGCTCTTTGTTTATATGCTCAACTGAAAGAACGTGGGGGTAGAATCTTCTCTTTGTGTATATGCTTAACTGAGTATGGGGTAGAATCTGCTCTTTGTTTATATGCTCAACCTTTGCAAGGACTGTTCCTGTGACATGACACACATAGTAAATCCTGTCTCCCTGAATGAGTAGCTGAGGGGTTGAGAAATTGGATATATGTGTTGAATTTGTATTTTATCTTCCTGTAGGAAGGAATGTCAACCTTAGCGAGTAAGAAGGGCTTAAAAGATATCGCCATCACTCAAGTTGCTCCACAACAGCCAATTAATGAATATGCGTTCAACTATGATCGTGGATTGGACAATGGTAACATGGGTAGTGAGTGCCTATCCTTCGAAACTTACTATTAAAATACAATGAAGAGAAATGAGTAGCTCTAAATTGGATATCCATTTATTTTGAGGGTTTTCTTTGGCTTTTTTTTAATATAACCAACTTCTTCCTGAAACAGCTTCAACCCTCTGAAATTCATCCTTACTATTCCTTTTATTTCATTGAAATATTCGTTTCATTGCAATATTCATGAATGGAGAGAGACACGCCTTTATGTAAATTGTTTCCATGTGAATAAATGTTCTCACTAGTTGATCTGTTACTGCATTTGTAGGTAAGGAGTCTACCTCCCAAAGAGATCCTGAAGACAACAACTCACCAAGGAATTCGAAGGTAGTGTGTCTTCTTGTGATTTGGAAATATCTGATTTCAGTGATGTTAAAACAAAATTGGTGTTTGCTTGAAGGTATAAAGTTACTTGAGAGACAGCTACTTACATAAGACAGGCAGATAAACATTTTCGCTATCTTGAGAAGGGGTGGTGTGATATCTCTTTGAGGCACCGATATGCATTTCCCTGGTGGATGGTGATGTTGAACATACTGTCATATTGATTGCCATTTCTATCTCTTATTTTGAGACAGGTCTGTAGAGGTGCTGTGTCCATTTCTGAACTAGATTTGTTGTTTGTTCATATATTCTTGACGATATTTCTTATCTGGGAGAGAGTGGGATACCTAGTACCTATGTAATACAAGCTTCCCCTTACTTATCTGAAGCTACGTAAAGGAGAGGTTTTGAGGCTGTCTTGACATTTGCTTCAGCCAACTCTCTTGCCTTTAGAACCTAGGAAAAAAGAATTAGGAGCTAAACTCTTGGCCCAGTGGTGAAGAAGTCAGATGAGCTATCTACCTCACACCTAGGATGGCTTCTGTCTTTTTCCTGTGCCTGATTCTAACTTTCAGCCAGGAGGCCCCCTGACAGGCTTCCATGGATTAATAATTCATTCTTTGTTACCCATTGGGAGAAATTGAGTCCCCAGCTCCTGATTTTACAAAATGCTAGACTGGACTTTGCAGAAATATGAATAATGAAACCCTCTCTAGGATTCTGTCTGATCTCTCACTTTCGCTCTCCCTCTGATTCTGTCATCTATGTTTATACTTCTGTTGATGTCTGTATCTATATCTGTGTCTATATGTCTATGTCTATGACTATTTCTATGGCTAGGTCTAGGTCTATGTCTGTGGATCTATAACCCCTCTCCCCTTTTCTTATTATGTACTTTTAGTTTTGAAGGCTCAAAAATGTAATTAACTAAAAACAAGGAAACCAGATTGAACTTAATGCTTTACGGTTTTGGATATCTATCTGAAATCCTCGTGGTACAGAAAAGGATTCTTCATTACTCTGGCATCTCCTTGGCACTTCTAACCTTGAAAATGTTTAGATGTATGTTTTACCATCTCCTATTTCAGTATCTCCAATAGGTTTCATTGACATAAGTCTTTTCTGAAATTTACGACTGCATGTTACAGCAACATGACAGAACTACATAGAAAAAGAGTTAGAGTTTAGATCCCTGATAAAATCATTGATAATTGTCATTTTCCATGAGAAACTCATGATAGTTTGCCCCTTTTTTCACTTCCAAAATATCAGGATTTAGTCTATGATTACAAAAATTTGCTTATACAATTTTAGTTTATTGTATTCATTTATCTTTTAGACCAGCCATCATTTCCTAGAGTGTTTTTTTTTTTTTTTTCTGCTCCTGTACCGCAAGTCTTCTTCTAGATGTGACTTCTAAGACTCCGGAGGCTCTCAAATCTGAGAAATGCTTCAGAGAATGCATTGCATGCATCTGAACATCCTGCCAGATTGGCCTTTCTAAATTATATTCATGACTAGAGTATTGAGCCATGATTCTATGGTGTCTTGTACAGAAAAGTGTTCAGATTGTAGCATACCACATGCCAGTTGCAGCTTGACCCTGATTCTCTACAGTAACTCTATCCCAGTCCCAAGCAATGTGTTGTAATGTTACCTTCTTACTTTCTTACCCTCATTTGTCATGTTGTTTTCTGTCTCATCATTCTGTTCCTGCAGCCGCTCTCAGAAGACCCTACACACAATCCCCCTGTACTTTGTGTACTTTAAATATATGGCTGTGGCCTTGTCCTGTTTTGTAAACTGTCACGGCTGAACTGAAGCTTCTGTAATTCCAGCTTCTTCTGTAACTTCTTCATTTATCACGTCAGTAGTAGAAACAGTGAATCTTAATTTCCTTTTCATTGTTTTCCTCTATATGTATATATACCCCAATGGAAGCCTAGAGTAGAATGCGCCTCTGTGTACATGCCTGTCTTTGTTAGGCAGTGCCTATGATTTGATAGACACAGTAAGTGTTTGTCTAAGTGAGTAGTTGAGTAATTGAATGTGTATGTGTGCTAAATTTGTGGTTCCTTGTTTTCTATAGGAGGAATCCTCTGCAGAACCTCTAAAGAGGGAAGAAGGTATTGCCCCACTTAACCAATTTCTAGGCATGCAAGTTAGTGGAGACTGATCCCCTGAGGTAGTAGAAGCGGTCCTTGAGTGTATGTATGTTCTTCTTTTTCAACGTTACTGCTAAATGAAACATCAACGTTGTGTTAAATGAAATCCTACATCCATTTTATTTTACCTTTGTTTTGGGAGTTTTGTTTTGTTTTGCTTTAATATTTCTGACATTTTCCCTAAAACTGCTCAGTCCTCTAAAGCACCTTCTCAGTATTCCCTTTGGCTTCTCCAGTTACTTATGAGCGGAGAGAGAGATGAATTGCGTGTGTCTGTACATTTCATAAATATTCTTCTTAGTCGATCGCTTACTACATTTTGTAGTTGCAGTGCCTATCTCCGGAATAAGTGATGAAGCTGTAGAATCACCGTGGGATTCTGAGGTACTTGTCCATGCAAGGTTTCAATGACATTAAGACATAAAAGTGGTGTGTGTTTCTTCAGCCTTTTGAATGTTTTTATACATTTTTTTAGCTTTAACAGGTTTTTTTTACATTTTGCCACAGTCACATCTTATGTATATATTACAGGTATACATGTATGCACTCTTTTTTTGAAAATGGATAATAATGTTACCTAATGAGGTATTCATTGATCATTTTGTGAGGAAAGAGGAATATATTGTTGTGTAATACAATAACTCAGTGTCACAATACTTCTAATTATATATATCAGATCATATGATAGCCACACAACTTTGTGCTCTCTATAAATTTACTTTTACAAATAAATGAAAACGTAGTATTTGTGTTTCTGGGTGGCTTACTTCACTTAGAATAATGATCTCCACCTCCATGTTTTGCTCCAAATATCAGTAATTCATAGTTTATGGCTGAGTGATAGTTCAGCATGTAACATTGTGCAGTCATTAGTTGATGGAGCTCAAAGGCTGACTTCATCCCTTTACTACTGTGACTTGTGCTACTCTTAACATGAGAATGCAGGTACCAGTCTCATATGCTGTTTCGCTTTCTTTGGATGCATTCCCGAGTGTTGGAGAACTGGGTCACATGGTAGATCCATTTTTCGTTTTCTACAGAATCTCTGTGTTGTTTTCCTTAACGGCTATACCGATTTGTGTTCCTACCACTACTGAATTTGGCTACACCACTTCAGCAGCTTTTGTTATTCTTTGATTTTGGCTAACAGCTGTTCTTACTGGAGAGAAGTGATACCTCATTATGTTGTTTATTTGCTTTTCCCTGAGCATGTTTTCATGTGTCTGTTGACCATTTGTATTTCGTCCTTTGAAAAATACCTGTTCTTTCCTGTACCTGTTTCTTCCTGAGATCGTTTGCTTTGTTGTTGTTAAGTTTCCTGAGCTCTTTATACCCTCTGAAAATGAGTTAATAGAATAGAAGATAAATTAGATGCACAGCTTCCTTTGATAGGCAGACTCTTCTTAGCTTGATTCAGTCCTGTCTGCCTGTTTGTGTTTTTAGCACCAGTGCTTTGAGAGTCTTATCCAAAAAGTATTTGCCTAGGCCAGTGCCTCACAGCATTTCCTTAGGTTTTCCTGTAGTACCTTGATACCCTCAGGTATTAAGTTTAGTTCCTTGATCCATTTTGAATTGAGTTTTTGTATATGCTGAAAGCTGTGGGTCTTGTTTCAAGTCAGCCTTTACTGTAGCTTATTTTTTTTTTACCTCAGTGGTAGAAGTGATGAATTATATGCTCCTATTCTTTGTTTTCCTATGTATCTGCTCCCACTTAGCATAGGGTAGAAAATACCTCTGTTTATATATTTATCTTTCTGGAGGAAATGTGCCTAGGAATTGACAAGCAGATTAAATTGTATCTTAGTGATGGAGCCACTGATTGTTTGCTGAGTTTCTGGATTGCTTGTTTTGCTTTAGTATTTATTAATTAGTTAATTAATTAATTTTTGGCATAGGAAGAAACATCAAGTGGAAAGGGTGAAGGTCGTGCTGCCACTGGAGGTGTCCCAGAAGGAGATATTCTGGATTATTTCCTGTCATGTAGTTGGGCAAGGATAGCCAAAGAGGTCAGTATATTTTAATGAATCACGGTATCATTGCTGCTGTTGAAACTGGGAAGTGTAGGTCCCATTATGACATTCATTTCCTTTTGCATTTTCTTTAGCTTTATGTATATGCTAAGTATCTCCCTATTACAATAGTTTCTACATTCTGCACTTTATTGCCACTACTGTCATTTTATTGCAATATTCCTGAATGGTGGTAGATTGTGGATTTACCTATAAACTTCATAGAAATACATGTTCTCATTCAAGGGGCTGTGATTATGTTTTGTAAATCCAGTGGCTACCTCCAGATCAGAAGATGAATGTCTGGAATCCACTTCCAAATCTGCGCTATTGCCTTTTACTTTCTTGTGACTTTGAAATGTGAGCATTAATTGATGCTGAGATGTGTAAAGGTGTAGTTGCTCCTTTTTTGCCTTTTAAAAATTATTTCAAAGGCAGAGAGAAAGATAAGAAAGATGCGTGTGCAGACACACACAGACAGTATACCGGCCAGATGCCTGCCAGGCCTATTCCAGGTGAAAGGAGTCAGAAACTAAACCCAGGCCTCCCATGGGAGCCAGAGACACAACAGCTTAAGTCACTACCTATTTCTTCCTTGCATATGCCTCAGTAAGATGTGAGGGAGAGAAGCAGGAATCAATAAAGGAACCCTGAAATACTGTATGCTGTTGTCCCACTTAGCATCCGAGCCACTGTGGCAAGTGACTACAAAGAGGAAGGTTTGAGTTTCCTTTCTCACGCCTGCCCTGTATGATTTATTTCCATCATAAAGTTAGTAATGCATTGTAAACAGTGCACTGCCACGTTAGAGAAGATCTACACATGTGTGTGACTCTGTTGGTGTAGTTAAACATAGACAATAATAAAGTAGGCCTGAGAGAGATAAGGAATCAGTTTTGGTTTGGAAACTAGCTATATCTTGAAAATTAAAAGTTTATTTTAGCTCCACCAATGTGAATAACATTATTTTGTGATATCTAATGCCACCTGTTCATCTGAATGAGATTTTGAGAGAAATATTTGGACTGCCATTTCTATGTGCTTAGAATTCCAAATAAAAGCATAATGAATCAAAATGCCATTATTAATCAGAAGTAATGGCATTTCAGCATGAGGTAAAACATGAGTAATCATTCATTTTTCTTTTGGGAAAATAAAGCCTGTTTAAATGGTGTCTTTAATAAACACAGGCTATCTTGGAAAATTTCAATGAATTCAACATGTTTATGATAGATATGTTAGTACTAGCATAACTATAAATATTCTTCTACATTGACCAAATGGTGAATGAGAAAGATGGAGCCCATTGCTGCCGAGCTCTGATTCCAGCATGCCATAGGCATTCATGGTTTGGTCTTGGATACATACTGCACCTGTCTCTCTCAGTTTCAATAATATGTTGGCCATTTTACTTCCTTACTTTATTAACCCTCATTTGCCATGTTTTGCCTCCTCCTTTTGTTCACACTGCTCTGTTTAGAAGGCCCATCATGCTTTGCCCCTGCATTTTCTCTGCCGTACTAAATGTGTTCCTAACCCTACAGACTTTGCTGAGGTTTTCAAAGTCATGCTGAAGATTCTGTCATCCTACCCTCATTGTAATTTACTGACTGCGATAGTTGAAAATGAGGAATTCTGGTTTTCTGTTCTTTGTTCGACAGAGGTCAATTTGCCCCTAGTCTACAGGATAGAATCTGTCTTCTTTCCTTATATTTAGCTCATTGTTTGAGCGCGCCTATTGCTTCCCAAGCACAGCAAACGTCTTCCTGTTTGGCTGAGCACGTGAATGAATGTTTGCTGAATTTGTGGCATTATTTCTTTCTGTAGAGAAAAGCGTCAATGGCATCAAGTGGAGATACTGAAAAGGATGTGGCTGTCAGTCTAAGTGCCCAAGAGCATGCAAAGGACACATTATCTGGTATTGCTGGAGTGCCAGAAGACAAAACTATTGGTCAGTATCTATCAGTGAAACACTGTTTAAGTACTAATGTCTCAACTGAAATGATTTCCATTATTTTGATGATTTTTCTTTCGCTATTTGTTTATATGTCCAACTCAACCTGGTTTAAAGTGCTGATTGAACAAGCAGAAATTCTTTTTTTTTAATTTATGTTTTTATCAGAAAGAGATAGAGAGAGGGAGAGGTGGAGTCAGAGGCATAGAGGCAGAGTGTGTGTGTGAGAGAGAGAGAAAGAGGAGAGTGTGTGCAAGAGAGACAGAGAGAGAGAGAGAGGTCTTGCATCTGCTGGAGAGAGAGAGAGGTCTTGCATCTGCTGGTTCACTCCCCAAATGGCCACAATGGGCAGGACTGGGTCAGGCCAAAGCCAGGATCCAGAAGCGTCATCTGGGTCTCCCATGTGTGTGCAAGGGGCCAAAGACAGGCTATCTTGTATTGCTTACCCAGGTACATTAGCAGAGAGCTGGATCAGAAGTGGGGTCACTGGAACTTGCACCCATAGCCATATGGTATGCCATTGCTGAATTGCCGTGGCTTTACCTGCTATGCCACAGCACTGGCCCTCTAGCTGAAATTCTTTATTGCTGTTACTTTAATTTTAGTATATTATTGATGAACTCAGCTGAATGCGTAATTTTTAAAAGCAACAGTTGGGGCTGGCGATGTGGTGTAGTGGGTAAAGCCCCCGCCTGCAGTGCTGGCATCTCATATGGGCACTGGTTCAAGTGCCAGCTGTTCTACTTCCCATCCAGATATCTGCTATGGCCTGGGAAAGTAGAAGATGATGCAAGACCTTGGGCCACTGCACCCACATGCCCACATTGGAGACCCATAAGAAGCTCCTGGCTCCTGTTGCAGATTGGCATAGCTCTTGCTGTTGCAGCCAATAGGCAGTGAACCAGTGGATGGAAGACCTCTCTCTCTCTCTCTCTCTCTCTCTCTCTCTCTCTCGGTGTAACTCTTTCAAATAAATTAAAATATATTTAAAAAAAAAAGCAACGGTTGACAAATGTTCTCATGAGTACAACTCTGCCTATGTTTTATAGATATGCCTGGCTTCAGACCAGATGATGAGCCTTTAAAATACTCCTTAAAGTCTGAGGTACTGTCCCTTGTTTTCTTGTGACTTTTATATGTGAGTATTATATTAATCGATGGTAAAATATAGAAAAGAGTTCTTGTTTTTTCTGCCACCACTTTATCAAGAGAGATAGTAAAGACGTAAGTGAGGCAGACACCGAGAGATCACCTGCCAAATGTTTGTGACGCCGTGAACAGAGCCAGGCCAAATGCAGATGTCAGGAGTTCGAAACTCAACCCAGGTGTCCCTCATGGGTGTCTGGGGCCCAAGAGCTTGAGACATCATTGACTCCCTCCATGATTGCACGTTTGCAGGAAGCTGGGTTCCTGCACAGGGGTCGGTAATGGAACCCTGGAATTTTTCATATTGCATGCTGGTGTCCTGCACAGCATGAGCCATTGGGGGAGGGGACTACTGAGTACTGGGGTGGCTCTTCTTTTTCATCTGTGTGCATACACTCTCTGATTTCTTTGTTTTCATCAAACAATTAGTAATGCATTATGTTGTAACCATTGCCCTGCTACTTTAGTAGTCTTCTACAGTTCTACTTGACTTATTTAGTGTGACAATTGTAGCATAATTCAAAACACATAAATAGGACCTGGGTAATATAAAGAAGTAAATTTGCTCTGCAAATTATATTTATCAACAACAACAAAAAAACAGAATTGTTTTAGAATGTAACACCAGACATCTGATTCCAGTATATCTATAGATGTCTTGTCATGCTGATGAGATTTTTAGATACCAAAATTGATGTGTTATTTCCACAACTTGCAAGTTGAAAACCTAATACCTGTGTTTCAGTGCATTCTTAACATCTTCGGAATAGCAGCTGAGATACGCAGGTAGTAACATTTAGAGCAAGGTATAACATGCGAAGTAGTAAATTTGTGGGAGGACAACCACTTTGGTGGTGTTTTCATAAATAGAGATAATTAGAATTGGATGAATTTGGACTATCCTTTTGGTAAATATGTACATACTAACATAAGTTAAAATGTTTTTTCTTACTGTGACAACAAGAGAGTGAGGTAGCTATGTTCAGAGCTCTTAGGTTTAAGCAGTATAGTGGTATCACTAACTTTATTTAAGTCATAGCACATATTAGTATGTTGCACTGTCACTTTTAGCTACAGTACGTTGGAAAGATGATATAGCCTTTTGGCATGCCATATACCACATTCATAAAATATGCCAGTATTTAATGCCCACGTAGGTGTAATGAGCATCTGTGGTAGCCAATGTAAAAAAAAAAAACAAAAATAGTAAACTCTAAAATATGCATAGAAGTTAAAGCAAAGATATCACTGAAGCATTCAGTGACTTGCTTTAGGATATGTGTGTTTTTTAAGCTGAGAGGCTTCTTTTGAGACAGGTCTGTTGAGGTGCTGTGTCCATTTCTGAGTTAGATTTGTTGTTTGTTCATATATTCTTGACGATATTTCTTATCTGGGAGAGAGTGGGATACCTAGTACCCATGTAATACAAGCTTCCCCTTACTTATCTGAAGCTACGTAAAGGAGAGGTTTTGAGGCTGTCTTGACATTCGCTTCAGCCAACTCTCTTGCCTTTAGAACCTAGGAAAGAAGAATTAGGAGCTAAACTCTTGGCCCAGTGGTGAAGAAGTCAGATGAGCTATCTACCTCACACCTCGGATGGCTTTCTGTCCTCGTTTTGTACCCAATTCTAACTCTCGGCTAGAAATCAAGCAGTATTTCCTGACCTTGCAAGACTGAATTGAGGATTCTCTTTTCTGCCTTTTCTTCAATTGTATTGACTTCAGTGGCAGAAATAGTGGTTTATACTTTCCTGTTGTATTTTCCCATGTCTACCTCTAGCTGAACATGGGGTAGAATCTGCTCTTTGTGTATATGCTTAGATTTTTCAAGGACTGGGCCTATGACTTGATACCCATAGTAAATCCTGTCTCACTGAATGAGTAGCTGAGGGGTTGAGAAATTGGATATATGTGTTGAATTTGTATTTTATTGTTCTGTAGGCAGGAACGTCAGCTGTAGCGGGTAAGAAGAGTAAAAAATGTTTTTTCATCACTCAAGTTGATCCACACCAGCTAATTATGAACTCTGATCACGGATTGGACAAAGATAACAAACGTAGTGAGTGCATATCTATCAAAACTTACTATTAAAATACAATGAAGAGAAATGAGTAGCTCTGAATTGGATATCCATGTATGTTGAGGGTTTTCTTTGGCTTTTTTTAATATAACCAACTTCTTCCTGAAACAGCTTCAACCCTCTGAAATTCATCCTTACTATTCCTTTTATTTCATTGAAATATTCATTTCATTGCAATAGTCATGAGTGGAGAGAGACACGCCTTTATGTAAATTGTTTCCATGTGAATAAATGTTCTCACTAGTTGATCTGTTACTGCATTTGTAGGTAAGGAGTCTACCTCCCAAAGAGATCCTGAAGACAGCAACTCACCAAGGAATTCGAAGGTAGTGTGTCTTCTTGTGATTTGGAAATACCTGATTTCAGTCTTGTTAAAACAAAATTGGTGTTTGCTTGAAGCCAGGGCAGCTAGTTTCAAAATAATTTAATATTATCATCTGTTTGAAGAAGCTGTGAAGACAAATAGACTTCACAATTACAATGATAACTATGGTATCCATATCTTCTGGAGTCTCTCTATATCTTTTTAGTGTTTTATTAGGCTCCATAGAGCTCATGGAATTCTAAGAGTATAATGATGTGCCTTTGTCCTCCATCCCTCTCCTTCTGTGCCTCCCACCCTGCTTCCTCTCACTTTACCCCTTCTCTGCTTTACTTTGAGTTTATGTCCTTGATCTACATTACATTCCATGGCTCCTGTAAATACTTGGTTCTTCAAGTAAAAAGCAAAAAAATGCCTAGTAAAGTAGGAATATAGACAAGGCCAAAGACAATAATGAAATGGAAAAAGGACTATTTCACTTATCTGCAATAAATTTCAAAGTAATCCCAGATCATTGAATCTATAGTAGCATAATATTCTTAACCACGAGCTTGACAAAGGTATAAAACAAAGCTTATCAAGACGACATTTGCAACAGTATCGAAACACACAAGCATTTCTGCCTTATTTGCCTTTTCATCTTCATTTTTCGATTTAAGCTGCCTCTTTTAAGGGAAAACATGAGATACTTGTTTTTCTGCGTCCAGCTTCTTTTCCCCCACATCATGCCCTCCAGTTGCATTCATTTTGCTGCAAATGGCAGAAGTTCATTCTTTCAAATGACTGAATACTATTACATTGGATACCTGTGCTGCACTTTTTCTGTTCATTCATCTTTAGAAGTGCGCTTTGATTCCTCTTTTTGCTTTTATGAACAGTGCAGCTATAATATGGTGGTGCACAGATATCCTCAATACAGTGCTTTCCTGTCTTTAGGTGTATAAGCAGAAGTGGGATTGCTAGATCATATGGCATTTTTTAAACTTTTATTTAGTAAATATAAATTTCCAAAGTACAGTTTATGGATTACAAGGGCTTTCCCCCCCCCAATAACTTCCCTCCCACCTGCAACCCTCCCATCTCCTGCTTTCTCTCCCATTCCATTCACGTCAAGATTGATTTTCAATTATCTTTATATACAGAAGATTGATTTAGTATATATTAAGTAAAGATTTCATCATTTTGATTTAGCTGTGTTTTGATAAACATAAGACATTTTAAATGTAAAATACTGAGTAACTTCATGCTAGCAATATTCATAACCACATAAGTATTAATAATGGTGATGTTCATAGTGGCAACTGGAAATGAGATAGGATTTGCTTTCTGACTTGAGCAGTTGCTTCATACTGATTTCTGTGACTTCACTGAAGTCCTAAGACTTGTTAATATGCTGACCTTTCCCTGGTAATGGAGTCTTGTGAAAAGTGATATAAGTCATTTGAATCCCAGTGGCCACACCTGAATGATTGATATCTAACTTTTAGGCAGTACAATAAAATAACGTGGCAAGAAATAAGCAAACATGATGCAAACAGTGAAATACATACAGAATGAAGAAAAAAGCATCCAGTGATGTCAGTTACTTATGTTTGCAAGTAGACTTTTTAAAATCTGAAGTCCAGTGTGACTCAGTGGCAGTGTCATGAAAAAACTGAGAAATTTGATTTGGCATGAAATGTTTAGTCTTATTACTGCATCATTACTATATTTCCTATGTTAATATAGTGACGGGGCCCTTCAGGCCTTTCTGGAGATATTTTGAATGTTTTAAAATGAATAATTATTTTTGTTTTGTGCCTAATATAAGCTTGAATTTTAGACAGTGAATATATTAAAAGGGGCTACTTCTGTCATGGTTAGAATGTCATAGCAAGCAGCAATCCACGATAATTTGTTATCCACCCTTCATATAAATCTAGCAGAGAATGTGGGGCTGCAAAATATTCAGGGGATTTTCCATAAGGTTAAAGGTGGAACGTGGGGTAGAATTCTGTATTCAGAGATTTTTTTTCTTTGGAATGTGACTATGCCACTGCCAAGTAAAGGAAGAGTTGGGGCCATCCCTGTGAATGTGCAGGAGGAGGTCATCCTGAATAGAGAAGAACCTAAAGCACAGAAGAGTATGGTTCTTGATTCTCTGGTCTTTTAAACATTTATTTGAGAAACCAAGAGGCAGAGAGAGATGAAAGGCAAACCCACAGAGCTATCACATACAAATTTACTCTCCAAATCTCTGGTATGATTGGGACAAGACCCAACCAAAGCCAGTAGCTAAGTTCTCAAAACTCCATCCAGGTCTCCCTGTCAGGGGCCTAACTGCTTGAGACATCACCTCATGCCTTTCTAAGTCTGTATTAGCTGGAATTTTTAATGAGATTCATTCTATTATTTGAAAGGCAGAATGACAGATAAAGATGGAGAGATGGAGGGATGAAAGAATTGAGCGACAAAGAGTTCTTCCATCCACTAATTGACTCCCCAAATGGCTACAGCAGCTAGGGCTGGGCCAGGCTGAAGCCAGGAGCCCAAAGCTCTAGCCAAGTCTCAAATTTTGGTGACAGTAGACCAAATACTTGTGCCATTCTTCTGCTGCTTTCCCAGTTGCATGGGCAGGAGGTGGATTAGGAGAATAACAGTTGGGGCTCAAACTGACATTCCAGTATGGAACTATGAGATGCTGCATTGCCAGTGGCAGATTCACGTATTGCACCACACACCAGCCACAGCAGGATTTTTAAGGTTTACTTATTTATTTCCAAGTCATAGATACAGAGAAAGGGAGATACAGTGAGAAAGACTACTTCCTTTCACTGGCACACTCAACAAGTGGTCACAATGTCAGGGCTAAGCCAGGCCAAAGAAAGGAGCTTCATCTGGTTCTCCTAGGTAGGTGGCAGGGGCCCAAACATAAGGGCCTTCTTCCATTACTTTTCAAAGGCCATTTGCAGGGCACTGGATCAGAAGTCTAACAGCATAATTATGAACTGAGGCCCACCTGGGGTGCCAACATAGCAGTCAGCAGCTTTACCCACTTTGCCACAATTTTGGCCTTCCCAACAGGATTTTTAATACCATATCCAAAACCAGAAATGGAATCCAGGCACTGACATAGTGTATTCAGGTGCTCTATTAGTGTCTGAGACACTATGACAAATAGCTGCGAATGGTATGACTTGATGTCTCTTTCTCACCTCTGTGTGTTCCTATTAGAATTATTTCCTTACATTTTCATCATGTGATGAGTATTTTCCTGATGCACTAGTGCACTGTGACAATTCTCTACATGACTAATTTAATGCAGCCAGTACAGTACAGTTCAAAACATAAGGCCTAATTAACACAAGTAATTAGGAATTAGTTTCCAAAATTTAGCTAAAATGTATGGTTTTATCACAGTGCAATTTATGCCAAATGTCTGGTTCTATGGTAGCTACAAGGATGACTAATCATCCTAATGTGCTTTTGAAAAGGAACTGTTTTATCTGTGGGTTTTCACAGTTTGGAACTCACAAATCAATACCTGACACTTCAAATCATCATTATTTTTTTTTTTTGACAGGCAGAGTGGACAGTGAGAGAGAGACAGAGAGAAAGGTCTTCTTTTGCCGTTGGTTCACCCTCCAGTGGCCGGCGTGGCCAGCGCGCTGTTGCTGGCGCATTGCGCTGATCCGAAGCCAGGAGCCAGCGCTTTTCCTGGTCTCCCATGCGGGTGCAGGGCCCAAGGACTTGGGCCATCCTCCACTGCACTCCCGGGCCATAGCAGAGAGCTGGCCTGGAAGAGGGGCAACCGGGACAGAATCCGGCGCCCCGACCGGGACTAGAACCCGGAGTGCCGGCGCTGCAGGTGGAGGATTAGCCTATTGAGCCATGTCACCGGCCCTCAAATCATCATTATTATATTTGTATTGTCAATTGTCAATCTGTAAAGAATATTTCAGTGAAGGGGAAACGTGGAGAATATAAAAATGTTAGATTATAGCAATAAGATTTTGGATAAGTGGGGGCCTTTAAATAAAAACCATTTTGAACTGAAATTGATCACTTGGACTAGTGAGATGGCATTGGTACATACCACCTTGATGGGATTGTATTGGGATCCCCTGGCATGATTCTAACTCCACCATTTGGGGCAAGTCTGATTGAGCATGTCCCAAATTGTACATCTCCTCCCTCTCTTATTCCCACTCTTATATTTAACGGGGATCACTTTCCAGTTAAAATTTAAACACCTAAGAATAATTGTGTGTTAATCACAGAGTTCAACCAATGGTACTAGAACAAAACAAAGAGAAAATACTAAAATGGATAAAGTATTACATTGTACATCAACAGTCAGGACAAGAGCTGATCAAGTCACTGTTTCTCATAGTGTCCATTTCACTTCAACAGGTTTCCCCTTTGGTGCTCAGTTAGTTGTCGCCAATCAGGGAGAACATATGATATTTGTCCCTTTGGGACTGGCTTAATTCACTCAGCATGATGTTTTCCAGATTCCTCCGTCTTGTTGCAAATGACCAGATTTCGTTGTTTTTGACTGCTGTATAGTATTCTATAGAGTACATGTCCCATAATTTCTTTATCCAGTCTACTGTTGATGGGCATTTGGGTTGGTTCCAGGTTTTAGCTATTGTGAATTGAGCTGCAATAAACATTAATGTGCAGACAGCTTTTTTGTTTGCCAATTTAATTTCCTTTGGGTAAATTCCAAGGAGTGGGATGGCTGGGTTGAATGGTAGGGTTATATTCAGGTCTAAGAGTCAAAGGGATCACACAAACAAGACTAGTGTCTGCTAATACTAACTGATAGAATCAAAAAGGGAGAGAATGATCCATCATGGGAAGCGGGATACACAGCAGACTCACAGAATGGCAGATGTCCTAAACAGCACTCTGGCCTCAGAATCAGCCCTTAAGGCATTCAGATCTGGCTGAAGAGCCCATGAGAGTATTTTAGGCATGGAAAGCCAAAACACCCTGGAAAAAAAAAAAGAGAAGACCTAAATGGAAGATCTCTGCGAGTGAGATCCCAGTGGAAAGAACAGGGCCATCAAAGAAGGAGGTACCCTTCTCTGAAGGGAGGGGAGAACTTCCACTTTGACTATGACCCTGTTGGAATAAGATCGAAGTTGGCGAACTCAAAAGGCTTCCATAGCCTTGGCAACTCATGACTAGAGCCTAGGGAGATTACTGACGCCATAAAGAGTGTCAAATTGTTAAGTCAACAACAGGAGTCACTGTGTACTTACTTCTCATGTGGGATCTGTCCTTAGTGTGTTGTCCAATGTGAAGTAATGCTATAACTAGTACTGAAACAGTATTTTATACTTTGTGTTTCTGTGTGGGTGCAAACTGATGAAATTTTTACTTAATTTATACTAAATTGATCTTCAGTATATAAAGATAATTGAAAATGAATCTTGATGTCAATGGAAGGGGAGAGGGAGCGGGAGATGGGAGGGGTGTGAGTGCGAGGGAAATTATGGGGGGGAACCCATTGTAATCCATTAACTGTACTTTGGAAATTTATATTTACTAAATAAAAATAACATAAAAAAACAATTTTGAAATTAAAATTCCCCCAGATTGAGTGCTGTGGCATAGTAGGCTGAGCCTCCACCTCCGGTGTCAGCATCCCATATGGGCACTTGTTTGAGACCCAGATGCTCCTCTTCTAATCCATCTCTCTGCTATAGCGTTGGGAAACAGTAGACAATGGCCCAAGTGCTTGGGCTCTATACCTACATAGGAGACTGTGCAGAAGCTCTTGGCTCCTGGCTTCTGGTCAGCCCAGCACCAATCATTGTGGGCATCTGGGGAGTGAAACAGCATATGGAAGACCTTTCTCTCTGTCTCTCATCCTATCTGTAACTCTGCTTCTCAAATAAGTGAATAAGATCTTTATTAAAAAAAGAAAAGAAAATGTCTTGATTACTTTTATGGCAGCAATGTTAGTCATTACATACATATAAAATTGTGTTTTCTATGGTGACGGCTGGACAGTGAGTGAAAACAAGCCTAAGTTCTTAGGTTTGAACAGCTGCTGCCTTGGGGTCAGGCATTTCACTAAGTTATAAGCCATACTCTTATGCTGATCTATAAGTTACTATCTATCTTGCCTTAAAAATAAAGATATAAGCTATTTGTGTGTTACCACATTTAGGAAAATGGTACCAACATTTACCTCAGTTATGTGTACTGAGCAAATATATTTAAATCTGATTTTTTTTTCCTTAGCATAGAAGTGGGAGTTGATTTTGGAATTCCTTAGTCAGAGAAAACCTTTCTGAATGTAACTATGATGCTGCCAACGAACGGATGAGATGGAATCATGTGTGTGAAAGTCTAGGATTAGAATATTCTGGGCAGAAAACTAGTGGGTCTCATTTTTTATCATTTGGTTGTTATAGTTGGGTATTAGCAAAACTTTAAAGTGGGACAACCATAATTGCAGCCATTGTTATGTGATCAGTTTAATAAAGAAAATGTGAAAATAAGTGCCTGGCATGTTTTAATGTTACTTATTTTCACTTATTTTAGTGGCAAACCAACAGAGAGATCTTCAGTGCAATGATTTACTGCACAAATACTTGAAACATTCAGGACTGGGCAGGTTCTATCTAGGAGTTTGGTATTTGGTGGACCCTCCGCAGGGTTGGCAGGGGACTCATGTATATAAGCCATACCTGCCTCGCAGCATGCACATGATCTAGAATCTGGAGTACGAATATAGTAGGTTAGGCACTACTCTATGGGATGCCAGTGTCCCCAGGAACAGCTTACCCTGTCAAATTGCTCCCCCTAGTCTGGCACAGTTTAGAAGCTAAACACCTATTATAGTTTATATCTTTTCCTTAAGGCTTTTTGTACCTTGTTGAAGATATTGACACAAAAGGCAGACACAGAGATAACACAGATAGATACCTACTCACATGCCAGTTGAGACACGCAGAACTCTCTTGGGTCCTATAGGTCAATCCCTATGTGTGCCTGCAACTCCAGGAACATAACCTCGTTGAAGCTGAGATACAGGAACTGGAAACTCAGTTCCAGTCTCCCATGTGGATGGCTAGAACTTAAGTACTTGAGTCACCACCAACTGCCTCACTCTGCCCACATTTGTAGGAAGCTAGATTTCTGAGCTGGAGCCTAGACTTAAGCCCAGGCACTCTCACATCAGACATAATCCTTTAGACTTAGCTTCTTCACCATTTGACCAACCACTTGCAAAGAGACTGTTTCCCCTTTCTTTCTCTCTTTAGTGCATACCTATAAGGAATTAGTTCCTCACATTTCCCCATCCCATGAGTAATTCAACTATGTGCTAAGTACTTTACAGCTGTGTAAACTCAAGGTTTCTTTCATAAATCCAGTACCATGCAGTGAAAAAGAAAGGTTTAGGTATCACAAGGAATTTGTTGAGTTTTAAGAATAATCTTTTCTAAGAAATAAAGAATGTTTCCACTCTACCAGTGACCAAATATATGAATACTAACTACCTTGGAACTTTTTCTAATTCAGGGATGATTTCTTTTGGAAATTTTCTATAGGAATATAGTAACTTTATACTTGAGGCCTTTCTGGTAATATTTTAATTGACACCTTAAATAAATTTTGTTGGTGAGTTCCAACTATGTGGTAGGGCAGTTAGGCACTGACTTTACAGGTTTGGGCTACTTCTCTTATGGTTGGAACAGAAAATCAAGGTAACAAGCACTAACAGTTACCTCTAAATGCCTCATAAAAAGTAATGAGAGACTGTTGAATAGAGATATTGAGGGTGTCTGTGCTTCGTGTTGGAATGGTTTGTATGGTGGAATTCTGTAGGCAGAGGGAAAAAATAGGGCTACTGATTTGATGCTGCCCAGCATAAGAATGAGAATGTACATTCGCTCTGAATGTCTAGAAGGAGGACATTATGGACAGAAAGATTAGTGGATCACCTCTGTTTATTATTTTATTCTTCACTTCCAGAAATTAGCAAGATGCAGGTAGTGGACTAACCATCACCCTCAATCTTTTTTTAATATGTTATTGTGTGTAGAAAATAAATGATGCAAATGAGTGTCAGACACATGTTAGAAGCTGAAGCAGAAAAATACACTTATTCTTATTAAAGCTTACAGTACAATCTTCACAGTATTTCTTTCTTTCAGTGAGTTGCATACTAATACAGGTTTTTGCATACTGTTACGAAGCATAACATAAAGGAAAATTTTACTTACTCTCCTGCTATTTCATTCAAACCATCTTCACGTGTTTAAACATTGTATTAAATAATATTTAGGACAGGAATTCTGCCTAGCATTTAAGAGCTCAGTTGGGATTCTGGCAGCCTACATCTTAGTACCTGGGTTAATGTCTTAATTCCAAATCCAGCTTCCAACTAATGTGCATCCCTGTAAGCAACGGGTCTAAGCTAATGTAATTGTGTTCTTGCCATCCACATCAGAGACTGGGACTGAGTTCTTGGCTCTCAGCTTTGGTGTGGCCCATGGCTGACAAGTGGTGGCATTTGGAGACAGAACCAGTGAACTGATATACTCCCTAGCCTGTCTGTCTCTTTCTCTCTTTTTCTCTCCGTGTTATATTTTTCTTTCTCTGTATTTCTTGACCTGTCAAATAAGTAAATAAAAAGAAAACTTAGCATTTCTAAACCACTGTGTATGTAAATGTACAGCTTCTGAGATGTTCTGTTTATACTCAGTATGGCATACTTTGAAGTTTCTTATGTTTAGAATGTTAAGACAAAACCTAGAAATTGTTCATGTGTTTAACTCTGTATTATAACACTACAATTTTTCAATGTGTTTTTCTAGTTTGTCTTCTTTATTTTATTGGGGAATACAATGCAGAGTTGACTTTTTGAGTTAGTTTGTAGCTAAAATATGTTATTAGTATCATAAGTTATTGTTCCTCTGAACCTCCATGCTGCATTTATAGAATCAGTAACATGAAACTCAAAGTTAGGCCTGATCTTGAGAATTTGTATAAAACATGCTGATCTTATTTTTGCCTTTATAAAGTGGAACTCTTTAGAAAGTGGAAAATTAAGATTCTTTTAGAACATTGTTGGGAAGTGTATGCAACTCATTATTGGCATTAACTTTAATAGACTATTTCTACAAATTCTTGGAAGGAATCCATTAATCAATCAATGGCAGCAGATGCAAAAGGAAAAGATATGAATGAACCACTGGAAGGTAAGAACTGTAGTTTTTAAAGCCAGTTGACAGATGTTTATCTAAGACATGAATATTGATGTATACCAATAGCTGAAGAAAGTTGTGTATTAAATGCATAGTAAGGAAAAGATAAATGAGAGTGGTAAGCTGTGTATTGTGCCACTAGTTAGCAATGCATTAAATTGTGAGTGCCCCAGAGGAGCTGAAGTATTAGCTCCATTTCAGGATAACCTACAATCAGAATAAGTCAGGGAATGAGGATTCAGAATGAGGGAGAGCCCCCATTCTGAGGGCTGAGGTGATATCTCATGGTAATTTTCTCATTGCATTTTCCTAATGGCTAGTAATATTAAGTATTATATATATTTATGTGTGTGTGTGTATTGACTATTTGTATTTCTTCTTTTGAGAACTGTCCATTCATGTCCTTTGCCCATCTCCATGTATTTCTGAATGTTCTATTGTTCTTCTGGTTGACTTGTCATTTCATTACTTGGTAATTTTAGTCTTTTTAAATGAAATTAGAATGGGGAAAAGGGTGAAATAAAATTAACTGCCTGAGAAAAAGCCCATTAAACCATGACATCTTATGCCATTTAAATTTGGGGGATGTGGCAGGGATGAACTTAAGGCTACATTCCAGAAAGGGGAGTTAAGGAAAAGGAATATATAAGGAAGCTTTGTAAAGACTAGAACTTCTTAAACTTAAGAATCTCTGGGGACCTTATTCAGCATGCACATTTTGTTTCCTTAAATGTGGGATTCTGCATTTTCATCACGATCCCTGGTGAGCTTTAGGGTTATATGTTTCCCTTCAGAGATATTTGAAAGAAGGACCTTGGGAGAAGTATTCAAGAACTAAAAGGATAGAGGGAGAGTATTTTTGTTTTTAATTTCTCAGCATGTTCCTATCCAGAGGATGAAAGGGGAGGAAGAAAGGAAGGAAGGGAAGGAAGGAAGGAAGGAAGGAAGGAAGGAAGGAAAGAGGGAGGGAGGGAGGGAGAGGAGGGTGGAAGGGATGGAGGGAGGGAAGTGAGTGGAGATAAGTAAAGGAGAGGAGAGGAGAGCGGGGGGAGGGGAAGAGAGAGAGGAGAGGGAAGGTGAGGAGAGGGGGAGGGGAGGCAAAGAAGGGGGAGGAGAGGGAGGAGAGGGGAGGGGAAAGATGAAGGGAAGGGGAGGGGAAGAAGGGGGGAGGAGAGGGAAGGGGAGGGGGAGGGGAAGAGAGTGAGGGAAGGGGAGGGGAAGAGAGGAGGAGGAGGGAGAAATTGGAAACAGGAATGAGAGGAAAGAAGGAAGCCAAGAAGGAGTAAAGTTTGAGAGGCTTCTGGGAAGGCAAGGAGAGTTGAAGGGAGGTTGAAAATAGAGTTAGAACTGTAAATTGTAGCGATAAATGGGAAAATAAGTGGTGTGGATAGTCCCTAAAATTAATGGTAAGGCGAAGAATCCAGAGCACAGATCCAGAGATTACTTTTGATAAGGAGGGATGATTCTGAAGAGGGAAGAAGAGAGAATGAAGTGAACCTGGTAAATTTAGAGTTACTAATGAGGAAACATGAGAATATTCACTTCAGATGCCTTCTGTATGTTCACATTTAAACACATTAGGTTATTGCTGCTCCAGAGATTACCAAAAACAGGATGGTGTGCTGGTATTGCAGCCACTCATTTGAACTTCATTTAATTCTAAAGCACTAGTGATATAAATTGCATGGATGCTATTTAAATGAGAAAAAATTTGAATACTGAATCATTGGCTTATCTTATAGCTAAATTTTTTATAAAGTAGTTTCACAAAATTAAAGTTAGCATACTATGCTAGAATAAATGTGTTTTGGAAACAAGATATCATAGACTTCATTCCTTCAATACCAGAATTTTTCAGCAAATATTGCATTGATTTAGAATAAAAAGTGATATTAATAATTCTGTGGCAGCTTAGTGAATTTATTCTTTTTGATGACTAGGTTTCTGTGTCAAAAGCATATTATATGCAATTACTTATATATGTTCTATGTACCTTCTTGAATCAGGGGATAAAATCTTTAAGACATCTAACTAGGGCTAGGCACTGTGGGACTGTAGGTTAAGCCACCTGTTGGGATGCCTGTATTCCATGTTCGGGTGCCACACTTAAGGTTCATCCTCCTGAAAAACTGCCTGGGAAGCAGTGGATGATGGACCCAAGTACTTGAGATTCTGCAACACTTGTGTGAGAGCTGGAAGGCAATCCAGTCTCCTAGCTTCCACTTGATTTTTTTTAAAATTTATTTATTTAATTGAAAGAGTTACACAGAGAAGGAGATGCACAGAGAGAGAGAGAGAGAGAGAGAGAGATAAGTCTTCCATCTGCTGGTTTACTCCCCAAATGGCCACAAAGGCTGGAGCTGAGCTGATCTGAAGTCAGGAACCAGGAGCTTCTTCTGGGTCTCCCAAGTGGGTGCAGGGGCCCAAGGACTTGGGCCATCTTCTACTGCTTTCCCAAGCCACAGCAGAGAGTTGGTTTGGAAGGGGAGAAGCCGGGTCTCAAACTGGTGCCTATATGGGATGCCGGCATAGCAGGCAGCTGATTTACCTGCTACACCACAGTGCCGACCCCTCCATTTGATGTTGCCATGGCTTTTGTGGGCATTTGAAGAGTAGATGGAAGATATTTCTCTATCTCTCTCATCTATCTTCTTCCGTCTTTCAGATAAATAAGTAAAATCTTTCAAAGCTAAACTAGAGGAGGAAAGAAATGTACACAAACCAGTAGTCCTCATAATTATAGAAAACTGTGACTATGTGTTACTATCTAAAGCCAAGTATATAAACCAATTGATGAGGTCAGACCACTTTCTCTGCTAAGAAATGAATTATATATTCATCTTTCATCACAACTGTACGCTTCCAAAATACAGGAGACACCGAAAAACAATTGTAGCACAATGGAATAAATGATTCTGATGTGTACAGTAAAGGTATGCTGTCACATTCGACCATCAGCTTTCTCATTTAGACTCTCATGGTCATGATTTGTTCCTTTGATTAAAGATCACATTTGTCCCCAGTACTCAGCATGCTCACTTTGGCATATGGGTACCTTTTTGCTTAATTAACAGTCATACTTTTTGAGACATTGTCATACGTTTTGAAATCTTAGTGGCGTGTTTTATTAAACCCATAGGTCTATTTTGTTGAATTTTATTTGATTTTTATTTTTATTTTTATTAAAAATTATTATATATGTTTATGGAATTCAGTGTGACATTTCATTATATGTATACAACATATCTTGATGAGATCAGGGTAATTGGCATGTTCCTTTCTTTCACATGATATTATTAAAGCTTGGTACTCCTTTTATTTCATTATAAGATAGGTTACTGTGATATAGTTGCTCAACTATGCTGTGTAATACTAGGAACTTATTTTTGATAGAACTCTGGTTTGTATGTTTTATATATACTTCTATCTTGCATGTTGTTTTCCTAGCACCCCAAATATAAACCGCTTCCCCCAAACCTACAGTAATCATTTCCATAGCCACACATGTGGACTTAGCGCAATGCTAAACCTGCACCATATATTGTCGGCCTTGTCATATTTACATATAATTGACTGTATATCTCTTTTGCTTTTTAGAGTTTGCTAAGGGATCCACTGAATTGACGGTAATAACGTTTACATTTTTGTCTTGAATATTCTCAATAGCTGGTAATAATGTGTATTTTACATTTTTCTCTAATTAAATACATATTATATGAAATATGCATTGTTAACTATCTTGTTTCAAAACTCCTTCAGCCTCGTCTGGAAGCAATACATCCTTTTTGGGCAACATCAGTGGGAATGAATGAAGTACAAACATGCAGACAAGGTAATTTTGCAGTACAAATGTTATCTGGAAAGAAACACAGTATTTGAAATGCCTTCAATCTTCATTCTAAAAATTATTTTTGTCTGCAGATTGATAAAAGGTTTTGACACAAATAATGCAGATATCATTTTCAGATTCATGTCTGAAAAAAATATATTTCTCATCTAGAGACTGTAACCTTTAACTGAGATGCTAAAAAATACCTTTCATTTTTGATACCCTGAAGTGCCTAGTTTAAAATTCCTATCTTTATTAGGATTGACATAAGTTAATTAAGATATTAAAATTTTCATGGTTTAAAATGTCATAGAATTCTGATCTTTACCTAAATTGGAACATTATTCCTAAATTTCATTTGTTTTAATTGTTCCATCCTAGTGATGTTCTGATTAGCATACTCTCATTTGTGTGTGTGTGTGATTACAGAGAACAGAGACAATACTTAATCATTTTAAAGCACAGAAGAGGAACTGCAATCTCAAAATAGTTAATAAGATTTGGAATTTTCCCAAGAATAAATATTTGAAGTGACTGGTATGCTAATAATGATCTAATCTGATCATTATACATTGTATAATACAATACACATATGGAAACAACATATTCTATGCCACAATGATGTGTCAATATAGAATAAAAATATATACTTTAAATTTTCTTTAAGAACTGATTTAGTGTCCCCAAATAATTTAATTGTAAATTAGAACTCTTAAACATTCTCATCTTAGGGTTCTTTTACCATTAAAATCCTTGTGAGTATTTGGAGATCCTTTACTTAGTGGACTGCTCTGTTCATAGTTAGTTTATTAGATATGAAAACTGGGAAAATTAAGTACAAGCATGCAGAGTCCTACATTCCAATATCCATGACCCATTAACTGTTACAACTAATAGTATTTATGGCATATCTCTCTGAAAAAGTTGATTCTGCACTTTTAAGAGAATGGATTGAAAATTGCAATTAACACCTAAAATTATTTGATTGGATTTTTTGGCACCTGAACATACCAACTTGGATCAGAATTTAGAATTACTACTTGAAACCCTTGTAGTCTTACCCAAATGTTAATGCAGTCCCTGGTGATGGAATCACCTTTAAAGTTTTATTTCTTCTGAATATAACCCTACCACACGACCCAGCCATCCCATTCCTCAGAATTTACCCAAGAGAAATTAAATTGGCAAATAAAAAAGCTATCTGTACCTCAAAGTTAATTGTAGCTCATTCACAATAACGAAGACATGGAATCAACCTAAATGCCCATGAACAGAAGACTGGATAGATAAATTATGAAATACGTACTCTATGGAATAATACACAGTGGTAAAAAATGAAATCTGGTCATTTGCAACAAAATGGAGTAATCTGGAAAATATTATGCTGAGTGAAATAAGCCAGTACCAAAGGGAAAAATATCATATGTCCCTGATCTGTGACAACTAACTGAGCACTTAAAAGGAAACCTGTAAAAGTGAAACTGACACAAGAAGCAATGACTTGATCAGCCTTTGTCCTGACTATCGAGGAACAGCTTACTATTTTATTCTTTTTAATATTTTCTTTTTCTACTTAATACCATTGGTTGAACTCTTTACTTAATACACAGTTATTCTTAGGTGTTTAAATGCAATTGAAAATTGACTTCTGTTAAAAATAAGAGTGGGAATAAGATAGGGAGGAGATGTACAGTTTGGCACATGATCCCTCAGGACTTACTCCTAAAGGGTAAAGCTAAAATCTTGCCATGGGACTCCAAATCCCATTAAGTTCACAGGTACCAATGCTATCTTACTAGTTAAAGTGTTTAAGTTTAACTAGTTTAAGTTCATATTTGATCATAAAGATAGGATTAAGTGTCAAAGGGATCACATAAATAATATGTGTCTGCTAATAATAATTGATAGAATTAAAAAGGAGAGAACACTCCAACACGGGAAGTGGGATACAGAGCAGATTCATAGAATGGCAGATGCCCTAACATGGGAAGCAGGATACACAGCAGATTCATAGAATGCAGATGCCCTAAACAGCACTCTGGCCTCAGAATCAGCCCTTAAGGTATTTGGATCTGGCTAAAAAGTCCATGAGAGTATTTCAGGCACTGAAAGCCAAGACACTGGCAAAAAATGACCTAAATGAAAGATCTCCGTGAGTGAGATCCCAGTGGAAAGAACGACCCATCAACGAAGGAGATACCTTTCTCTGAGGGTGGGAAAGAACTTCCACTTTGACTATGGCCTTATCTAAATAATGTCAGAGTTTGTGGACTCAAGAGGCTTCCATAGCCTTGGCGGCTCATGACAAGAGCCTCAGGTGATCACTAACATCATAAATAAGAGTGTCAATTGTTAAATCAAGAACAGCAGTCACTGTGTACTTGCTCCCCTTGTAGGACGTCTGTCCTTACTGTGTTGTACTATGAGAATTAATGGTAAAACTAGTCTTCAAACAGTACTTTATACTTTGTGTGTCTGTGTGGGTGCAAACTGTTGAAATCTTTACTCAGTATAGAGTTGATCTTCTATATATAAAGATAATTAAAAATAAATCTTAATAAAGAATAGGATGGGACAGGGAGTAGGAAATGGGATGGTTGCAAGTGGGAGGGAAGTTATGGGGGGAAGAACCACTATCATCCAAAAGTTGTATTTAAAAATTTATATTTATTAAATAATAGCATTCTATAACAATTTTTTCTGTTTTTCTGATTTTGTTCTAGACTTGTCTTAAAATATTTAAATATGATAGTTTATCTTTTATCAAAATGATAAAAATATTTCAGATAAATACCAGTTAGAGCATTCTGAAATTCTGTGTACTTTGCTTCTATATTGGAACTAAACTAATTTTTAATTAATGCATTTGTATATGTTAATCTTATTTGTATTATTTTCATTCTTAAGTTTTTCAGACTGTGATTCTGCCCCCAGCTGCCTACTAGTTTGATTATCCTTTGATTCTCAGTAATAAGAGTTGTCAAAGATATACAAATTTGACAATTGATGATACATAACTGTTTTATTAACTCTGTGACCAAAAATCCATCAATATCCATGGAATCTCATGGACAGATAAAGTAATAGCTGAGGAAATCAGAGCACAGAATTTAACCCTGGAGCACTTCTGTGTGACTGCATAATTTCATAGTGTGACTTTCAAACATCATTTTGTTCCAGGGTTCACTTTTGGATTACTCCTCTTATGCCACCTAAAGTCAACAGGATATAATTCAGAAAATCATTTTTATTCTTGAGCTCGAGTTCACATATAAACAATAGAGACAAGAGTATAGATAATTTTGTGTGGGCTGGTATTTAGCATAAACTTCTGAGTGGCTTACATGATTATATTTAGTACACAGGAAGATATCTGCTGTCTCCTCAAGTTGTTTGCTGATAATTTGGAAGTCAGAGGTATTTCTTAAAGAATTAAATATTCAATGAAAGATTAAGCTTAAGCTTTCGATTGATAAAATGAGTTATTTGCTATTTTTTTAAGATTGTAGCTTTCCTCTCACTGATAATTAACATATTTAAGTAGAAATATAGATCTGTAAGGGACACTAGAGTTACCTGTGTAAATGCCAAAAAATATTAAACAAAATATCACTAATTGAATTAGACCCTGGATATGTGCCTCACCTCAGTGGCCCAGAAAACATTTTGGACTTCTGGCTTACCCAAACTAAACAATTGAAGCATATGATTCAAATAATAAAGTCTAGTGTTTTGTAGTTACAGGCAGAATCAAGTTAAAACCAATACCAAAACATCTCAAGAGGCATTTCCTTCCTCACTGCAATACTAATCAATATAAAAGCACAGAACCTGAGTTAAAAAATGTCAAGTCTTCTCCAACAAATAATGACATTAAAACAGCACCCAAGGAAGAACAAGAATGGCTTGATGGAAGTGAAAATAAGCAGGTATGTAAAAACAGTAAACTTCTGATTTCATATTTTTGTGTGTATCATAGCATATACCAATCAAAATGACTTTCCATACCAGATATTTATATATATGTATATAATATATGTAGGTGTGTATATATGTATCAAAAGATCATAATTTAATGCTTAATTAAAAACATGTTAACTGCTTATTAGACAAAATCTTAGAAGCTGTTGTATCATATAGCTAATCATTTTCTTGAAAGAGGCAAACAATTCTAGATATGGTGTTCAATAACATTTTTAAAAACCTATCACACGGGCCGGCACCATGGCTCACTTGGCTAATCCTCCGCCTGTGGCGCCAGAATCCCATATGGGCTCTGGGTTCTAGTCCCAGCTGCTCCTCTTCCAGTCCAGCTCTCTGCTGTGGCCCGGGAAGGCAGTGGAGGATGGCCCAAGTCCTTGGGCCCTCCACCCACATGGGAGACCAGGAGGAAGCACCTGGCTCCTGGCTTCGGATCAGCGTAGCACTGGCTGAGGCGGCCGTTTGGGGAGTGAACCAATCAAAGGAAGACTTTTCTCTCTGTCTCTCCCTCTCCCTGTCTATAACTCTACCTGTCAAAAAAAATTTAAAAAAAAAAAGAAATTATTTGTTCTTCTCCCTCACATAGGGACAAAACATCAAAATGAAGTACTGCAGCAAATATGTGTAGATTTAAGAATGAGGTAGGATAAGATGGACATTTGTCATAGTCATTAAGATACCACTTGGGATACTAACATTCCATATCACAGTTCCAGGGTTTATGTCCAAGTGCTGCTCCAGTTCTGTCTTCCAGTAATGCATACCCTGGGAAGCAGGTGATGGCTCAAGTACTTGTTTCTCTCACGCTCCTGTGAGAGATGTACCTTTAGGTTCCCAGCTTCTGGCCTTTGCCTGGCCTAGTCATGCTTATTGTGGGTAGTTGTAGAGAACCAGCAGAGTTTGTCTCTTTCTCTCCCCCTCTCCCTCTCTCCCTCTCTCCCTCTCTCTGACTTTCCAATACATTAAAGTAGATTTTTAAAAAGAATGAGGTAGTCTCATTACAAGTAGTTTCTGGCCTTGGTGAAAAAGTTTAACTTGCAAAATACAGAGAGGTTCCCTTGTTGATACTCTACTATTTGCCTGTGTCAATTACCTGATCCATTGTGATTTTCTACCTAGAAAAAGCTTATGTACACAATGATGTTGCTCTCTAAATTACAGTTAAAAAAATCTTCATAGTTTTTATTATTTAATTCTTCCCAGTGACCTTTAACCTGGGCAAATAATTTAACTGAATACTCTATGACTTTCTGAACCAGAATAAGTATAAAGATTTTTTTAAAAATTTTAATAAGCCCTAGCCATTTTGATTGGCTTAACAATAAATTACAGTTATCTATTTTTTAAAGATTCACTTATTTATTTGAAAAGCAGAGTTTTGGAAGAGGGAGGAGGGAGATATGGGAGAAGGGAGGGAGGGAGAGAGAGAGGAAGAGAGAGAGCACGAGCAAGAGTGAGCTTTAATCAACTGTTTCACTCCACAATTGGCCACCTTGGCCAGGACTGCGCTAGACCTAAATCAGGAGCCAGAAACTTCATCTGAGTCCCTTATGCGGGTTCAGGAAACCAACTACTTGGATCATCTTGTGTGAATTGTATTGATTACATATTAAAATATGAATATGTGGGATCCAGTGAGCATACCATGGGAAGGAACCATTGTTTGAGAGTGAATATTAGCATGTACCTGGCCTTGAGTGTTGTAAAACATATTACAAGCATAGTGAGTCTGTTTATTGTGCCTTGTCTATTGTACAACTTTATCTGATTCAGTTAAAGTACATGGAACTTTGTGTTCCAACATGACTATTTAAAGATTTTTCAAACACTTACATACACTTTCATGTAACTTTTATGCTTACACAAATATTTCTGGTGAATTAGACTTTTATAAGTATCATAAACCACCACCAGAAGTTCAATGTTTGTCTCTAAATTAGGATGCTACATTCTGGAGTACTTACAGTTTTATAGGTATGTAAAAATCTACAGATATCCTCTTATAGGTAAGGGTAGATAAAGCCTCTCTTCACGCTCCTCACCCTGAAGGCATTGGAGTATTTTGACAAAGTCACACTGCTCATTTCTGTGATTAATTTGGTTATTTTCTCTGGTAATGTATCTGATTCAGTGTTATAGAATGTGTGTTTTCTGTTAGTGCCATAAAATGCTAGGAAAAGCCACTCTGTGTACTTTGTCTGAATCATTTAACCTTTTGAAGTTTTATTCCCATTATCGGTAGATAATGGGGCCAGAAACACTTAATTACTTCATGCCTTCCATCTATGAAATTATATGCTTAGTGACTGTAAAATGAGGGAAGCTTATTTTTCAGTATCTCTCACTAACAATTCATGACATTCCCTCTTTTGAGGTGTGGCAAACTTGGACGGATATATTTTAGTGAGCATGTATCCCTTTTCTGAATATCAAATATCCCAGGATCTAAAGGGAAAAATATTGCTGGAAACGTAGTTTTTTTTTAAATTAAGATTTACTTTATTTATTTGAAAGACAGAGTTGCAGAGAGAGGTAAAGACAAAGAGAGAGGTCTTCCATCCTCTGATTCACTCCCCAGATGGCCACAATGGCTGGAGCTGCGCTGATCCGAAGCTAGGAGCCAGGAGCTTCTTCCGGGCCTCCTACATGGGTGCAGGGGCCCAGGGACACAGCACCGGCCTGGCAACATAGTTTTCTAAAGCTTTGTTTTACACCTTTGTGAACCCAATGGTTAAGAATGTTATACTATTAAAGTTTTAATGATCTGTGAATACTTTAAAAGTTATTGTCTATGGAAAAAATAATTATAAAAGCAATGAGAGAAAAAATAGCTTAGAGCACAGAGGGGAAGCCTCCTTGCTGTTACTAGAGACCTGCATCGTCAAATCCTGTAAATCTGGATGGTTAATATAAAATCCAGGTGACAATGACAGAAAGTGACATATTTTACGTGTTTTCTCTTATTGCTTCCATACAGGTTAATAAACATACTAGATAGTGAAATGTGGATAGAAATAAAAGCATAAAATGAGGAAGTACCATCTTTGACATTTTGGAGAATTGTCAAAAGTTTTAAATTCAGAAATGAAGCAGAATGCACCAAAATTTCCATGAGCTGTAATGCTGAAACTAAAGTATATAACATGCAGCACAAATACATTTCATTGACTAGAATTCATGGCGAGTGTCTTAGGTGCAGTAATCACTTTGAACTTCCATGAAGTACATCTTCCTCCTCAACAGTTCTTGGATAAAAAATACGTTAACATGATTATCTTGGACAATTAATTCCTTGTGCCAGTATCAACAATCTTAAAATTTTTGTTACTTTGAAGAGCAAACCCAGTTAAAAAGAATTTTAGATCCTCCCATCAGGATGATTCCTAGCAAATCAGTCCTTTGTTAACCTAGCGAATTTTTGGTCCCTTTAATTGTGTTCTTTCTCTAGTTATATCAGACTCTGGCTTGGTTCTTCATTTCTGTGTGAAGCACTTAAACAGAAGTTGTTGCTTATGATGTGTGGCATATTCATACTGCCACTGCTTGTCCTGTTTTCTTAGAGACTGCTGTGTTTTTCACTGTATACACTTGGCACTATGCTCATAAGCTTTCCTTCATAAAATAGAAAAAATGGGCTCATTTTGCATAATAGCTAATCTTTTTATCCAATAATGTTGTAAGGAAATTTCTTGAATTCTAAATGTTGGTCTTTCTAGATTTTTTCAAAATTGATGTTTCCAGGATTAAAGTTTATTACAATGTAGTTAAGTTATAGGGTTGTCTTTCTCTGTTACTTTCAAATAAATAAATAAATATTTTAAAAGGGAACTGACGTTACATAGTGGGTAAAGCTGCCACCTTTGATGCCAGCATCCCACTTGGTGACAATTCATAATCTGGCTTCTTACTTCCAATCTGACTCCCTGATAATGGCGTGAGGAAGACAGTGGAGGAAGACCCAAGTGCTTGGCCCCCTACTACTGATCTGGGAGTCCTGGATGCAGTTCCTGACACTTGACTTCAGCCTTGCCCAGTGTTTGCCATTGCAGCCATCTGGGGAAGGAACCAACAGATGAAAGTGCTCTCTCTCTCTCATATGTAAATAAATATTTAAGAAGTGTAGGGTTATTTATCATAACCCTACCTGAACATGAACACCATGGGAGACCAGGAGAAGCACCTGGCTCCTGCCTTTGGATCAGCGCGGTGCGCCGGCCACGGCGGCCATTGGAGGGTGAACCAACGGCAAAAGGAAGACCTTTCTCTCTTTCTCTGTCTCTCACTGTCCACTCTGCCTGTCAAAAAAAGTAATAATATCAATAATACCAGAAATTTACATTAGCATTTTAAGACCATTGTAGGATTCTAGCACACTGTCTATTGCCTGTGGTGTATTGTAAGAGCTAATTATTGGAGGTGAATTGTTTCTCCAGTTTCCATTGTTGTTTTATTGAAGAATTGTAACATGTGTAATATCCAAAGTATTATTGATAAACTTTTTCCAACCAGTAGCAGGATGTTCAAAATTTTTTTCTGTCACTGTAGTAGAAAACAGTGTATGTAAAACATTTATGTAACAATAAATGTGCTACAGTAAAATTGATAATAAATGAACACAAAATGTTTATATTTATGTACTAACAAACGATTTTAATATGAAACTTCATTAAAGTTTGAAGAAAAGGGCAGCGTTGCCAAAGTAAGGAAATGGAAGTGTTAAGAAACTTGCATGAAAGTGCTGCTCCTCCTGAGGACAGTGATGGTTGTGACTGAATCAGCAGAGACAGAGTGGGGACCTTGACACCAGCAATCTGCCACTAAGAAGAGTGAAGATATTATTCGTAAGTCTATAGCAATATTTAACATTAGGTGATGTGATTTTTATTGTGCTATAAAGCCACTTCTAATTGGGTTATTATCTATGATTAACATATTTTTACTAAGGATT